ACGGACGACGGACGACGACGACGGACAATCACTCATATGATAAGCTCCGCTCGACAAAGTCGACAGCGGAGCTAAAAACTCACTTGATATTCTTCATCCATTTATCACTATAGCGATTTGTAACAGGTATAGGAATCACATGACCAAACAAATGACCATCTATAAGATCAGGTTTCATGAGAGGTTCATGTACCTGTAACACATCACTTCCAGCTAGTTTTATATTACACTGGAAGACCTAACAAACGTGGAATTAAAGAAAAGAAAATTAAATAGTTTTAAAATTTTACAAGTTTTAATGAAAATAAAGATGAACTCACATTTTAACAAATATTTTTTTCTGATGGATGGCCATGGATAGGTTTCATGGTCTCTGCAAGTAATTGGTTATTAACCATATTTTTTAAGGATGTGTGTTGTGATTTGGAGCTAGGCGATTAGGTGCCAAACGTTCATTTGAATCATGCCGATATTTATTTAATATAGTTTTTAGCTTGCCATGTGTTTGATGTTATTTACTTGCTATTATGAGTTTACACTCTGAAATATTATTCTGAAATATACTCTACACTTCCATCACTATTTTTCATAATTTTGAACTTTTTAGAAGCACATTTTATTAGATACCTGTGTTCCCTTGGTTCTCAAATTCACATACAGTGTATGAATTCCATGTGACAAAGATACAGCAAACCTATATGGTAATAAAGTCATATTATACAAATAGACAATACAATACTTAAAATGAATAAAATTTTACGACGAATGCATAATTCATGAGTTAACCATGCATTATTCCCACAATAATCATGTAACTCCCAATGGTGAAACACTCGTATATATCTTCCTACATTAGAATTTGAAGAGGATTGATCAATATCTTTCTGTGTATTTTATTGATGTGTAATGGTCAACACGTTACTGTATGTGACCCTTTAACTCACCAATATTGATTGCGTCTATAGACATCACCTGTCACATATATTCCATCTACATACATAACAGCAACACCTGGTGGAAAGATGTGAGACAGAATTATAATGCAGCACTTGACTAGATGATGTCATAATCACTGTATAATAGAATACATATGTTTTAACTGTGTTTCTATATTATTACCCCCCTTCTTATTAAACTGTTGTGGAGGAGACTGCAGCATGGAGACGAGGTCATGAACTTGGCGGCTTGTACTCACCTAGGCACTGAATGAGAACATCCTCATTGTTATGGTTGACAGCAAATTCACCAACAGCCCACCCCTACAAATAATACAAACCAATATATCACCAAGTTTTATTATGCAGTGTTATTATATCACCCTTGACCAATTTTCTACTTTCTGGAGAATCATCTCAGAATTCCAAACTTTTATTCTAATTAACATCAATGTATTTGATTGTGATCAACTCATGTAAAAACTTTACTCAGTAACTATGGTGGGAGATTCACTAAAAAAATTTTAACTGAAGCAAAATTGAAAGGAAACCTCAAATCTGCAGAACTATACCTACCCCTATGCCAAGTTTATGTTATTATCAGAGTTTATGACCATATTTGGTATATTCATAATATTCCATTTTGGGTGCAATAACAAATTCACTGAATGATACCCGGACATCCCTCAGTGACCAAGGCAGGCTAGGTGCTTCAGGTTTGATAGACACTGACTAAGAAACAGATGCAGTTGTTCTATTTACTTACTTGCCATTCGGTGATTGCCATAGACCCCAATCCTGAGACAAGATCATTCCAGTTAATCTGAGGATTGATCTGCACATTGTCTGTCGCACTCTTGAAAAAAAAAAATCCCCAGTGTAGTGATTATCAACAGACGAAACATTTAAAGCAAGAAAAATTAATTGTTGAAAGCATTTTTTTTTAATAAGATATTTTATAAATACCATCAATTCACATAGAAATGAATACAATGAATGGATTGAGACCTACTTTTTGCAGTACTTTTTTCCACTGGATTTCTGCACCTGGTACAAGTTCTGAATAATATTTAACTTTTTTATCATATCTATATTTAGATGCATTGTAGATGCCGCCATAGAATTCCAAAGGATCACCGTCTATCTCAGGTTTACCAACAACAAATGGACCTGATTTGAACAATAGTATAATCAATATATTAACAGTCTGAATGTGGTCAGTTGTCAAGGATACATTGTATATGACATGATCATATTTGGATTAAAATATTTTAATATATGCCTCATAGATTATATATGTGAAATTCATTATTCAAAACAATAACATACATTAATGATTACTAAAATGCAGCCACACTTTGAAGATTGTTGCCAGTTAAATTATAGTTCTCTATAAAGCAATTGTGGCAATGGCAAGGGTCTGTACAAGATTCAAATATCAATTTGTTGTGAACGCATGTAATAAGATTTCATTTGAAGATGTCCTGAATATTTTGAGACACACTATCTCCATTATGCAGGTATAATCAAACAGGTGCAGTGGTTTTGCTTTTATGTATTTTTCTATAAATTTTTGCAAATTATACCGGTAGACGAAATATACATAATTTCTGAATGGCTACAGGTCTTGGCCATGAAATATCATTACTCTGGGCGCTAACATGGTCGAGTACAGTATGTGGCTTATTTTGTGACTTTAGCATTGAAGGGAAATGATAGGGTACCTTTTTCCAGACAGGGTAAACAATTCTCAGTACCGGTACTTACCAATATAGTGCCACGTGGTGACATGGGACGACAGTTTGCCATTTATTCTAGCAGCTTGTTTCAAGGCAGTAGTGGCTTTACTGCTTTCTCCTTTGTCTTCAAAAATCGTACCAAGTTGAGACCTGTAAAATCAAACATATTCCTTTTATGAAAAGTCATCAATTTGAGGTAAATATATAACTACATTATGCGTTGTCATGTTAGCATGTGTTGTCCTTTGGGTTTGTAATTATAGATATGATTCGTAAATTAGTCATTGATAAAACACTCACCATGCCCATGCATCATCAGGATTTGTCTCAATATTCTTAAGTAAACATGCCACAGCTTCTCTTTTCTGAAACCACAAAATAAAAGTAGCACCATCAAAAATGGCAAATACTGCAAAATGCAATTATTCACAAGGTTTTTAATTTTGCTAATTTGATTTTTAAATAAAATTCTATCAATTAAACCTAAATGATCATGTAAAATAACAAATAATTCACTGTTTTCCAAGGAAATTCTTGAAATTAAAACATGGCCAATGTTCTCAAAATACCAAAAAAGTGAAAATAAATGGTTTTACATAATAATACATATTATGAAAAGAGAGAAGGAATGCATGTGTCTTTGCAACAGGAGGAAGCATCAAAGCATAGCGTGGTTGAATACTCACTCATGTTTGGCTGTTTAGAGGCATTGCAGCTTACATAGTTTCAACAACCAAATAATACACATACCTACCTTATTTTTTATTCGTAACTGTGTAACAGAATCAGTTGTAATTGATTTACATATTGTTGTATCTACAATCTTTAATTCTTTTTCTAATAATTGTGACACTGATTTCTGTGATTGAAATAAAGACACATAACAGTTCTTGTGATAAATACATGTATAACTGGTGACAAATAACAAATGCATGATATATTTTATTTTTATACATCTAGCAGCGAAAACAATAGAATTCACCCGCCTGTAAAACGCTATCTGAAGATGTTTAGAAGTTAATGTATGCATTCAAATACGCATGATATTTACATCACATTCAATTACTTCTCATTTTACATTGCAAACACCAACAATGTAGAGTCATGTAATTTTATGCAAATATTATTAGTCTGCAATTTTTTGTTGTTATCTCACATTGAATTATTATCAGCAAAGAAAAGTTGCGTAATAATAAGAATATCATGAGAATATTAGAAAGTATACACACAGGCAGTGAGGGAAGACATCACCCTCAGCTGCTCATTGATCGATACGGCCGCTGTAATGCCTTTGTGTAGAGTTTGTTATATTTCCATGATGATCTCATATTATTTTTGGTTATTTGAGTCGTTAAGTTACAGCATACTGAATTGTATGATTTAATTGACATACAGATATGTGCACATATCTAATTTCTACATGTCATGAGACGTTCTGATTGAAAAACTATGTGGGAAGTTGTCAAGAATCATATACTGTAGAATACTTTATTTTCGCTTGGAATTTATTTTCGCTATTTTCGCTGAAGGGATGATTCCATGAAAATAAAATCCAGCAAATATACTTTTTTCCTATATTTCACATTAAACTCATAAAAAATCAGTGAAAATAAATTCCATACAAAATGCTCAAAAAGCCTTTTCAGCGAAAATTAATTCCAGCGAAAATAAAGTATTCCACAGTATTTTACTGCACATAGAATAGAATTGTTATTGCTATCGTACTCCATATTTGAGTACAATAAAGTAATAAATTCTGCAAACATAAAAAAAAAAACTAACACTAACAATACAGGAAAAAATCAAACAAGATGCTCAAATTTCTAAACATAAAAAAAAACTGGTTAATCTGAAGAAACTGGCTTAAGCATTTTAACTTTAATTGATTTTTTTCGTATATTAAATCAGTTACAGATGTGTTTTGCCACATCATTTATAAAATATTGTAATAACGTTGAAATTTTTTTTATTTGAATAATTATTTGATAGATGGTAACAAAATTTGGGTATTGTGAGAAATCGAGCAATACTAGTATGTATGGGACTGTGATTCATATCGTACCAAAATATAAAACACGTGTTGGGCTCTCATGTATAATTTTATTTCAGACTCAGTGTTCTTTTTTTTTCTCATACATGAAAACAATGAAGATATTATTCAC